ATCGTACTACAATTTACATTTCGAAGCGCTCGCGCTCCAAAGCCGACCAAAAATCATCGTAGCGCGTGAAGATGTTCTAACGTAGCTTGCGCTTTGTAGCAATTCATGCCGATGCCATTCTCTACTTGTTTTAGATCCTATTATTACTCTCTCGCGTGTAAACGATGATATAATACATGTTCTTGCTCGCGTAATGGCATAAGAGCCGGTTTTTTCGACTTGAAAATTGAATTTTTTTTGACTTTCACGTTAATGAAAAGAGGAGCAACGCCCACACTTGTATGGTTTTTTTGTTGTTAGTAGTATTGTAAAGTCCAAGGCCGTAAACAAGCATGGTTACTTTTGTAAGCGTTGCGCTTTGGGGCGGTTATTGTAATGCGAGTTGTGTGGTGGTGTAAGTTGAGCTGTGGAGAGTGATTTTGAGCAGTTTATTAGTGTTCAGAAGCGTTTTAGCTTTAGGAGTTTTTTGCTGGTTTGGTACATTTAACGGTCAGTGATTGCAAGCTTAGTTCTTTTATTAGGTTTCAAGGATAAACACCTTAAGTACAAGAACCTTACTGTACCTTTGTCGTATTTCTTTCATAACAACTCAACTCTTCACACGTTGCTATGTTTTCAACGTGTAACCCAACGTTTTCTCACCGTTATCACGTTCCAAATTTCTATTTTTAGCCTTTCTGCTAATTCTCTTTATCACCCTTGCCTCAACAAATTTTTACGCGCTGGTACCCTTTAACTTTTGATCCTTGAACAGTAAACCGATCCGCTAGACTAACATTGTCATAAAGCTTGTCGCATCAGCGAAATCGCCTTTGTTTTATCAGCTTCTCGGAACGACCGAGCGCGAGAAAAAAACGTCTAGGAAGATGCGTCAAGTTTAGAGACAAACAGCTTGAAACTCAATCATGATCTTGTTCCGACGCGCAAAACTCATTAAGTGGATAATGTCATCTTTTCTTCTTCCCTTTTTTGTCAGTCGAGACTCATTAACAATAGGGCGAAAGTTGCTAAAAAAATCGGGATTTGACTATGCGATTTTTCTTGCAAACTCGGTTCACGAGCTTGATGGAGGAGCTAAGGGTGGTGAGCTTGATTGGGTTTGGTTTGAGGTTATATTGTAAGGCTTGTTTGTATAAAGTTTCTGCTTTAAGTTTGAGCTTGAAAAAGGTTTATGCTGCTAACGGTTTGATTTTAATCAAGATTTCGGTTTGAAGTTCGAGTTTGAACCAAGTGATAATTTAAGATTGGCAGAGTTGAAGGTTTAGGCAGAATGAATTTGAAGGTTGAGGCTTTGCACTGCTGCCAATTTGGGCTTGTGCAAGGTTTGTGCTACAAGTTTGAGCTTGAATAAGCTGAAGATTTAAGCTTGATGAAGTTGAAATTTTAGGCACAATGGCTCTGAAGCTTAAGGCTTGGTAGACCTGACGTTTTGGGTTTGGTCAAGGCAAGGCTAAGGTAAAACCAGGACAAAGCTAGGACAATTCTAGAGAAAAGCTAGGGCACGGCTAAGGCCAAGCTAAGGAAACCTTAAGGCAAGGCAAAGCTAGGGTGAAGCTAATTTGGACCTAAAACAATTTTTTTTTCATTTTTATATTTACTCATCCTTTTTCAAAGACATTGCACTACTTCTGCATCACAAAAGTAGTGCAATATTTTACAAAAACTTTAAAAAAAGTGCGTCTCAGAAATTGCAAAACAACATTCGAAAGAAAATGTCGAAAAAGTATATTGTTAGTGACGAAGAAGCGGGACGGTAATTGCGGTCAAGGCAAAAGAAGCCGTCGTCGTGCCGTTCCACGTGCATTCGTCAAGTTTTGTAAAATTCGAAAAAATCATTAATATTCTTTTGTAAAGCCCGTTGTAGATGAAGAATGATCGAAAGTGCATTCAGGAGGTGATGATGGCTTTTGCTAACGTCAAGGTGATGATGACTTTTACAAACATGAAGGTGAATGTGTCTTGTATGGACATGAAGGATAATGTTCGTACCGACAACGTCTGGTACGAACAATATCATTTTCTGAATGAAGGTTGATCTTCGAGAAATCGATTTTTTTTGTAAAATTGTAGATTTTGTAGTGCTTTGTCATTGTGCTGTGGTTACGGTATACGGTTGAAACGGGATGCCACATTAACGGGAAGTTTAAATTTTGACTCCTTAGCCATGTCTCTTACTCTAGCTTTACTTACCTCTGGCTATGCCCGAGCTATTTAAAGTTACGTCTTAGATATTTGAAGTTATGTCCTAATCATTTAAAGTCGTGCTCTAGCTGTCAAAAGTCAATCAAGCTTGTTAATATTTTTCATGGCTACTAAGTGTACTATGAGCTACATACAGTAGGCTTTTTAGATTGCTTTTCCATATCCACTCCATCTATTTTTACTCTTCGGCCGCTTCTCTACCCTTCTTCACCCCTACGACAACCGTAAATCTGTAGCGGTGTTAAAATTCATAATAAATTTGATTAATCGCCGTGGAAAGCCGGCGGCAGTCTCCACCCGCCCTGATCGCTGCGAACCAGTCCGTACCATTTTTGGCGCGCCCTCCCCGCCCGCGGCGTGTTGATCTTGCCCCCACTTAAATACCTGTATATCAGGTGCGGATTTCCGCAGTTTCAAGAAGTCAAGGCAGATTTTGTTTTTTTTTGCGTCGTGAATTTGTCGCGCCGGCTCCAAAGTGAAAACTTTTGTTTTGGTTTTTTGTTAATCTTCAGAAGGGGATGGCAAGTAATTTTGGATTGGCATTAGGGAATGGAACTTTTTTAGATATTAATGCCATTCTTTTTTAATGAAAGCTTCTTGTAGTTGTATAGGGTTTAGAAATTTAAGTTTATTCTGGAAGTTTGAGCCTTCTACGAAAATCTACACTTTGATGTTCGTATTTACGTTCAAAACATTGTTATCTTTTTGATGTTGGCAAACGCTATCATCAAATCGGTGTTCGTAAAAGCCTCCTTGAATACACTTTTGATCGTTTTTTATCTACAGCGGGCTTTACGAAAGCATATTAATGATTATTTCGAATTTTACAAAACTTGACGAATGCTTGTGGAACAGCACGACGACGGCTTCTTTTGCTTTCAAAGGAAGAAAAATTAAAAAAAAAATTTTTAAGTTGTCTTATTGCGACTTGGCGTATTTTACTACATAAAAATTTTAATTTTTAAAATTTGAAAATTTTAATTTTCTTGAATTTTAAAATTGTTTTAAAAATGAGTCTTTTACAGAGTGCGCCAAAAGTTCTGTTACACTGTTTTTTAATCAAATATTTATTGTATAAAAAACAATACTAAATTTCAATTTTCTGCACTTTATATGCTAAAGAAGCAGAATTAATTTTTAAAAAATTTAATTTTTTTTTTAATTTTAAATGTTTTCATGTTTTTTAAAAATTCTTTTTTTAAGCGTGTCAAGTTAATTTTAGCGGGATATTCGTATTTTTGGAAATGTGGACAAAAATTCCAAAAAAGGTTCAAAAAAGGTCTGCCCGTTCCCACTATTGTCCACTGTTCCTTCATGTTTCACAGTTGTTTTTTTTTGAAATACCGTTCTTTTTCTTTTTTGAATTAAAAAAGCGGGTTTTTTGAAAATTATGGTTTTTTGTAGGCTTTTTAATATAAACGGTCTGGAAGTTTGTAGAAAGTTTTTGGGTATAAAAAATAATTTTTTGAAGTTTTTTTTTTAAATTTTTAAAACTTTGAGTTTTTTTTAATTGTGAACCTTTGGTATAATGAAAAACTTTAAACTCTTCGAGCGATTTGTTATACAGAAAAGTAGTTTAAATGTTTTTAAATTTAAATTTTTTTTTAATTTTTAAAAATTAAAAAAAAATTTTAATTTTAAAAATCTCAACTTTCTGCAACATTTTCCACCCCGCCCACTCCTTTTTCTATTTTTATTCCTCCTCTCTTATGTCATCATGTGTAATACCGACGCAAAAAACGGCTCCAGAACATTTCGAATTGGTGGGCGTGGCGTGGCTGTTCGGACTATAAAAAGACGGACTGGTCACTTCTTTCACTCTTCTTCGCTTCAGAATCCCGTGTTCGGCGGAGGCGGGGCACACAATGTTTTTTCGATTGGAGGTGGGCGGAGGAAAAAACAAAATCGACACACTTTCGAAAGTGGGTCAGTTGGGGACGGCGGGTTCGGGTGGAACGGTCGGACTCTTGCAGCACAACGACCTTTTATGGGGTGAAGGGGGGTTGGGGAAGGGTTGAGGATAGGGTAGGGTTGAGTGGGTCGGAGAGATGTATTGTAGGGTAGGGTGATGTGATTTTTGAAAAATTTTTTAAAAATTAAAATTTTTTTTTTTGATTTTAAAATTGATGTAAAATTTATAGACTGGGGCGGGGCTTTTTAGTATAATTTTGAGCAAGGCGTGGTATTTTTAAAAAAATTTTCGTAAGCGGTGAAACTTTTTTAAAAATTTTGGTTTTTTTTAATTTTTTGATTTTTTAATTGCCTAAGGCATTTTTGACTTTTACTTCTTGTTTTCTGTATTTTCCTTAACATTCTTTTATCATTTCATATCAAATTTTGTTTATCGTGCTACGTGAAAGTACCTAAACTTTTTAAAATCGAATTAAATTCAAACTAAAAAAAATTTTAAATTTAAAAATTTTTGATTTTTTCAGAATACCCTTGTCTTTCAACTTCTCACTGCTTTAAATCAACTGAAAAGTGCAATATACTCAACATATCCCCCTAGAATACCATTAGCAACCTTTAGCAAAAGTTTAGAGGTTTATAGAATATCAAGGTTTAGGCTTTTGACTTTGGTACATTAGAGAGAACAAAGTTATTAACTTTGCTTCTCAAACTACAATTTTTTGACCTACTACAATATCTACTAGATATCTACCTTCAACCCGCCGGATATCTTCCTTCAACACAAGATATCTATCTTCAACCTTCTCAAAGTTCAACAAGTACTACGTACAGTTGAGCACCAATAACTTCATATCTACCCACACAATCTACCCATACCCACACACAGAATGACTCTCCCAGAACCACAATCTCCACGCACTGGCCTCGCCCTCTCCGACCTCGGCACCACCACCAGCTCGTACTCGGTGGGCGGTGCAGGCATCAGCGGACTGGCAATCTCATCACACGGCGGCAGCTCCAACTGGTCCACACGAGGCGTGGGCGGTATTGGCGCAGGCATTGGCGTTGGCGGCGGTGCTGGCATTGGTGGTGGTGCAGGTTTGGGCGGATTAACTGGCGCCGGCAACAACGGATCATCGGTATGTTTTTGAGGTCGGTTTTGCACTCTTTTAGCACTATTTAGAGGGGCTTAGGCTTAGAGGTAGCGGGGGTGTTTTAGAGTTTTTAGGGACGTGATTTAGCGTTTTAGGCTAGTTTTTGTTTTGTATGATAGTGTTTAAATCGTGTGGCGTAGTTAAGGTATAGTAGAGTACAGTAGTGTAGGGTAGGGCAGAGTGTGGTAGACGTTTTAAAATTACAACACCTTTTGGGCCTAATAACTATTTTTAAACATAAAAAACCATTTTTAAGCCTAAAAAATCATTCTTAAGCCTAAAAAACAGTTTTTAAGCATAAACATTATTTTTAAGCTTAGATATCATTTTTAAGCCTAAAAACTATCTTTAAGCTTAACAAACTATTTTTAAGCCTAAAAGATCATTTTTAAGCTCAGATATCATCTTTAAGCCTAAAAATCATTTTTAAGCTTAAAAACCATAATTAAGGCTAAAAACCTACTAACAGCCAAAAAAAAATTTTTTAAGCCGAAATTAAAATTCCAAGCTTAAAAATCATTTTTCGCAAGCCTAAAGTCCTGATTTAAAAAATTATAAGCGTTTTTCGGCAAGTTTTTTTTATCCAGGTCATGGTCAAGCGGGTTCATCAACGCACTTTGTTCATAAAAACCGAAATGCGGGGTTTTTTGTAAATTTTTCGAGTTTCCGCAGCTGATTTGTCCCAGTTTTGTTTGTGGTCAAGGTTGTTTCGTAGGCGAATTAGGGGTGAATTTGTTTTAGTATGTAAGTCAATAGTCTTTAGGCTGTAAGAATACTGTATAATTGGAAAATAGAGGCTAGGAACGGAACAGTGAGGTCATAAAATGGGATGATAAAAGTACGGGCATACTGTAACATGGAAAACATTAAAATTTTGAAATTTTTAGATAGGGAGAAGGGAGTGAGAACAAGGGGTGGTAAAAAAACTACAAAAAATTTTAAGTTGCACAGGGGACCATGTTTAACATTTTTAAAAATTTTAAAAAATTTGAAAAAAAAATTTTTTTAATGTCAAAATTTCAAAAAATTTCCGAATTGAAAGTGACTTTCACTAATCCAGGTAGACTTCCCAGATTTGTGATTCCAGAAAGCCGCCCGCGGGCACAGTTCGATTAATCAACCCAAAAGTCGGTCATTCGAATTAGCGCGGTCGCTTCGTATATAAGGCATTGAAATGTTTTTTCATCATTCCTTGGGCGATGGGATTAGGTACGGCTGTCCGTTTACTTCCTTACCTTTATCGTTAAGGGGTGTTTCGATGGCTTATTAGGTTTTCTTTGAAAGAGAATGGGGGAAGGGGGGAGTGATGTAGGGGGGTTTTAAAAATGAGAAAGGGTAAAGTTGAGGGTTTAAGGAGGATAAGTTCTATAGGACCTATCGAAAGAGGTTGCTAAAGCCTTTATGCTTTTTTGAAAGGGGTAGATAAGGTCTTTAGGGCCTTTAGGAAGAAGTTGATAAGGTTTTGAAGGGATTTAAGAAGTAATGCAAATTTATGTAAGTATTTACTGTAGAAGTTGTGCTAGGCGTACTAGACTACAAGCAGTGTTGAAAAATTTAAAATCTTAAGTTTAGTACTAAAAAAATTTCAAAATCTTAAGTTTAGTACTAGCAAAAGGTTAAAAACGTAACTCTAGTATCACTAAAACTTCAAAACCTACAGCTACTTACCACTATACTATAAGCTTTGATACTAAAGTTTAATTTCAACTCTATCTGACTACACTAAGAACACTCACTATCACACTATACCCCTTACACCACTAATAGAACCCTATTTTCAGAATTTCGGCTTCGGAAACTCGTATATGCAGAACTGCGGTATCTCGTCCAGTGACTACGGACTTTTCAAAAATTAAACCGGAACAGTGGATTTTTGGAACGTTAGGCGCCGTGATTTTATCGTTTTGTAGTACCCATTGTATAGAACGTTTTGTAGTAGAAACGTTACTGTATTAATGTTATATCTACCTTTATCTACATTATATTAACAACATATCAACGTTTGTAGCAGTAAGCTTATATCAACTTAAATTATATCTTCATAGCTCTGTAGAAGAATCTATTATAGCTACAGTAGTCAGTAGAATATTATTTCATATCTACATCAACCTATAGTTACCACATACAAAACCTTAGCATCTCATAGTTAGCCACAACTACAATATACAGTAAAACAATCTACCATACAAAGTAAACCACCTACAATAACATAAAAATGAACTACCTACCTCTACTGACTGTTTTCTACATTCTATCTACAATAATCCCATCAACATTAGCCAACCCACCTCTACCAAGTTGTAGCGAGATACCACGTGTTCTTTGCTGCATAGATCGTATAGCCTTGGCTTGTCCAAGGGGTTGTCGACCTTATATTGAAGAGAAGTGTCCGTATAAGCTTGAGAAGCTCTTTGGTGAGGTTGTAGCAACTACTGAAGCTGGAAAAGCTAGTACAGTATCTATTAAGCCGGGAGAAACTAGAAGAACATCTGAAGCTACTGTAACTCAAAGCGTTTGGGACAAGCTGAAAGAACATGAACAGCACAATGAAAAGCTGGAACGTAATGGAGAACAACATAAACATGTTAAAGTTCAGGATAAACAGCATCAACATAGTGAAGATCATGACGAATCTAGTTCAACCTTGAGAACTACTCAAAGCTACAGAAAGCCTAGACCAGTTGATAGCCAAAATGACGTCATCTTAGATAGCCAACAAGGTCATAGTAGACTTCAAAATCAAAGATCAAAAGCTCAGATTCATCAACAACCACATCAACGTCGAGTAGTTGATCATGATGCTGACAATGCTCCACGAGCAATCTCTCAGCCTTCACAAGTCTTTGACTTAAACCCTCAGAAACTGAAGTCTACAGCTCGAGCTCTTCTACCTCCACGAGATCTAAATCAACGGGCTGGAGACATCTTGGCTAGCCCTGGAAGCAACAATAAATTGAGTAGTTCTAGAACTTTTACTGGAGATGGAAACTCTAGATTAGCTTCTGGAGCTGAGGCTTCAAGGGCTCAAGCATCTGGAGCACAAGCTTCAAAACCAGATTTTAGTGCTCAAGGTTCTAGAGCATCTACAAGTTCTTTAGCTCAACACGACTCACCATCTCAAAGCATTTTGACTTCAAGCAAGGCTGTAGAACATCAACGTACCAAATCGTCACGTCCCGTTCACATTCACAACACTTTTGAAGCTGTAGCGCCTCAAATATTCAACGACAAGACGCCTGAACAAATCTCTCGAGCTCAGTTTGTAGGTAGTGAACTACCACAAGATGGTCCAACCTTAAGTGATCAAAATGGTCAGCAAATCAGTGGCCAAGACAACTATGGTCAACATAGTCAACATAGTCAACTAATCCCACAACTCAAAAACGTCATTGACAGCGAACACCAACCTCACTGTGGCACCGACCACGCGACACCACCATTCGCACCATGTGTAGATCGTGACATAGCAGACGAGCGCTTCTTATCCTGTTGTAAAGGTCAAATCCCTTCATCATGCCATTCGTTGTGTACATACGAACATAGGGAGAAGTTGGCGGCTAAAAATTTCATTAATGCTATTCAACATCAAGGCTGTGACTTGAAATGGCTCTCGACGATTTTACATTGTGCCAATCGCGCTAAGGATAACAGGCATTGTTGTCAGACACTACACTTGGCTAGTCCTGAGCTGGGCGTTGGGGATCGGTAAGAGTTTTCAAAAAAAACTTTTTTAAAAAAAAAAGTTGCTAAAGTTGCGGTAAAAAATGCAAAAAAGTTGCTAAAAATATTAATATCAAGTTGTTAAAATAATTCTGAGCTACTATTCAAAGCAAATATTCGTGGTTTGGTAGCTCAGAATTATTTGAACAACTGCCATTTTTAATTGACATCACTTCACAATTTTAAATTTCAAACTATAACAACCTAATTTTTTACTTTTAGATGCCTCCGAATGTGTTACATACCATCGGACCGTGAGACCATTGGTCATGTACAACAACATGACCTGGTGTGTTTGTCCAATTGGAATGTCATCATGTACTGTGCTCGTTCTGGGCTTAGGAATTACTAATCATGTCCAGTTGTAAAGAAAACAATCAGTTTGATATTAGTTTTAATAGTAGTATAAGGTCAAAAAAGTCTTGTCGTCAATTTGCGTTGGTTTCAGTGTTAAAAAACGACAAAACTTTTTTTTGATTTTTTACTATTTATTATTGTAGCTTTTTACATTAGTTTACAATATTTTACTCTATCTTATCTTATGTTCATTTTTATATACAACTACTACTAGCTTACACCCATCTACTCTATATTCTACTACAAACACCTTTTAGTTACTGTAATTCTACTACAACCGCCCTCTAGTTACCTCTTTTTTTCTATTAGCTTGTTTAAATAATTCTGTGTCCCCAAACTCCAAAAAATTTAATTTTTTTGAAAAAGAGCACAGAATTAATTGAACAACCAAAATCCTACAAAACGACCCATCACCTACTCTTTTCGTTTCATCACCGTACTGTTCCCATACCGTATTATCCTTGTTGTTTTGTTCGTTACATCCTAACTGTATTTATTTTCGTTATAGCTTAGTAATTTATTTCTGTGCGCGTGCTGGACACTTTCTTCCTTACTATGAAAGCATTGTATGTCTTTTAAACTCAATTCTTTTCTTACTAACCCTGAACATACGATTGGGTGTTGTGGTAGTGGAAAATCGGATTTTAAAAAGATTTTGAGATTTTACGGGTTTAAGGGTTAAAAACTTGGTTTAGGCTTAAAAAAGGCTTAGTTAAGGTTTAAAAAGAAGGCTTGGTTCAGGCTTAGCCAAGGCTTTGTTTAAGCTAGAAAGAAGCTTAATTTAAGTTTAAAAAAGAGTTCAGTTTTAGGCTTAAAATAGCTTGAAAAACAAGCTTCGTTGAGGCTTAAAAAAGCACTTGGTTTAGGCTTAAAAACCAATAATTTGGATTAAAAAGAAAGCTTAGTTTAAGCTTAAAAAAGGTTATTTTAAGCCGAAAAAGAACCTTATTTAGGCTGGAAAACGCAGCTAGTTTAAGCTTAGAAAAGCTTGGTTTAGGCTTACAAACGACATTTTAGGCTTAACCTTAATGTTCTATAAAGTTGCTCTAAACCAGGCCTTCTTATACCATATATTAAGCTCCTTTTACTTATTCTTAAGCTCTTTTTTTTCATTTTACCCCAGGGATAAGCCAAAAGTATCTTATAGACCTTAGTTTATAAATCTCAAACTAAAATCTGATTATACTCATGCTACGATACCATCGTATGTCACTTTCCTTCCCAAATTGCCATAGGAAAACGGACCTGAAGACGCGCGAAAAGGGCCAAGATATAACACGAGGATTGTCTTAAGCGGCTGGTCCCTTTAAACTGAACAGATTTGCAAAACAGTCGGTCCGCGTCTTCCATTTTCGATTACTGTAGTCGTTCAGCAACTCAAGCGCACAAATCTTACTGTAGTTTCTATTTGAAAACCGTAACATTCTTACTATCGACCGTAACCTTTGTAGGGGCCGGATATGTGCAATATTATCCTTGATAGTATGTTGTCTTTCAACTAACTTCAACTTAGCTTACTGTAGTTTATAACTTACTGTAGTATGATTTAAAGTTACTGTAGTATGTACCATAGTACTTACCGTAGTGTTTACTATAGTACTTACCGTAGTGTTTACTATAGTACTTACTGTAGTATGTACCTTAGTAATTACTGTAGTATGTTCCATGGTACTTACTGTAGTAACTTATGAATCTTTCTATAACCCCACATACTACGACACCTTACACTAGTATCAACTTTAACATCTTACCGTAGTAAAAGAGCTTTCAAAACCGTACTGCCTTTCATTCTCTACCCTCTCCTACTTTCAACACACTATTTCGTACTGTCTTTCCGCTCTGTTTACAATGTAATTGTTAGGTATGTTCATATACACATTGAGCATTACAGTAGCATACTGTAAAGTTACATTATTGCACTGTAACTTAACTTCATATGATCGTACCTTCCAGCCTATTACATATCATACTTTTCCATACTATGTTACACTTTACTACCCTTTTTTAAGCGCCTTGATTGTAATCGACCAGTCGATCCAACCCGTTTTTCCAATTACTTTTTTACCCTGTAATTTTGTATTTTACATTGTAACTTTGTCGTATCTTTCACTCCACACGCGAACATGCATTTACACTCTCGTTGTAAATACGTCTTACTGTAACATATTGCTGCAGTAACTGTTTAATTTATTCACTCCCCCAAACATACTCACCGTTGCTCACTCGTTATAACCACTCATCATATCAACCATTACTCATGTATAAGTTTTTGTTTGTTACATTCGAACCGTTATGTGGTGTAATAAACACGCAATCAAAAAACTTGAAATTTGAATTGTTTTTACAAAAATATAAATTAAAAAATGAAAATATAAATATTTAGTTGAGCTTTGACATGATTATCTTGGACATAAAGGCTGCAGTCAGGAAGAAACACAAGCGGAGTTCTTAGTGGTTTCACTGTAGTTTAATACCTAAATTTTTATAAATTGTGGTTACTTTCAGCCATATCTTTATGTTTCCTCTTGTTTTCATTTCAATTATTTGAATACTATAGAAAAATCACGGCTTCGGCGGTAATGTGAAATCAGTTCAAAGTTAGTCGCGTTTTTGCAACTTACAGAAACAGAACAGCATATACCTAACCGGTCCCCAATAAAAATCAACTCAATTTTTTTGTACGAATTTGTTGTACCACTAGTAGTACCCATAATAAATTTTAGTTCGTGCTTTTGAGTTTTAAATTAAATTTATTTTGGTTTCCCGCCAATTTGGTAAATTTGGCATTGTGTTTTAAGCACTTTTTTCAACTTTCCAGGCAAGCTACGCTTACAATTTTAAAAATTTAGGCTTATTTCAAGGTTTTCTACTAGTATATCAAAAAACTAATGGTTAAAAGTCGAAAACAACAAAGTTATAAGCCTGAAACACAATGCCAATTTGGCGGAAAATTTAAAACCTGATTTATTGATTTCGATTTTCTGAAGATTTCTTGCAAAGCGCAATTTCGTACTTTTCTAAAGGTCTTATATTTACATAATCTTTTTATATAAGTAAGTTTGAAGGCAATCAGGACTAGACATGAGAAACGGGCCGGGCCGGCCTTGAGCAAAATTTAGATCGGGCCGGGCTGGAAAAAAAAATTTCTAAATTTTTTAAAATTTTTTATTTCAATCCCCGTTTATGTTTTTAGATTTTATTGGGTTCTATGATCCATAAATGGTCTAAAAAAACAATTTAAAGCCAATTTTCCGTTTAGTTTTTAAGCTTCAAAATTTTTAAAATTTTTTAAAACGGGCCGGGCCAGACCAAAATCAAAAACGGGCCGGGCCTAAAAGTTAGGCCCGGCCCGGCCGGTTTCTCATGTCTAATCAGGACGGGGCAGGTAATACACTTTATTTTTTATTACACTATTGGCCCACAAGATCCGTTCTGGCCTTGGACTTTTTAAACTTGTTTCAATCGGGCCAAGCCTAATGCGTCTTTTTAGGTCTCTAGAAAAACCTATAAAAAAGTTAAAATTAACACAAAGTATAAAGTTTAAAAATATCATTTCCTTGCAACATTTGCACGGTCGTTTTTATAAATTGCACGTTTATTCATTGAACCACAAACTCTTTTTCTAAAAATAAAAAAAAACTCTTTGACCTCATTTCGAAACATTTAAAAAATCTGTAGCTTTGTCATTGTGTAGGCAACGCACTATTAAGTTCGTAGCTACAGTAACAAAGTTTAGAAAGACTTGGTTTTACACTACTTTGAGTCAAAGTTAAACCCCACGCAAAATTAACTATTCGGTTGAATAAATTTTTTATAAGCGGAAACTTAACCTTTTGACTTTATACGTTCATTTTTTTAAATTTTTTAAAATTTTTTGAAATGATTTTTTTTACGTTTTTAAATTTAAAAATAGCAAAAAAATTTTAAAAAAAGATATGATTTGCTTTTTTTTTAAATTTTTTTGTTTAGTACAGTACACTCTCTATATAAGCAACTCAAAGGGACCGACATTTTGTGTTTACTATAAGGGGTGATGCCTTTACAAAGTGATTTTTAGTGCAAATTGAAGTGGATGGACCAAATTTCTTGTTTATTATAAGGAGAGTTGCTTATACAGATCTACAGAGATAGACCACTGTATTTCTACATCACATTCTCTTTTGATCTTTTTGGTGTAGTCGCTCGGGACAATTTTCCGTGTATATACGGAAAATTGTCCCGAATACCTTCATCGGTCTTCCATTAACCTAATCTAATCCGTTTCTTCAGTTCATTGTCCCATCTTGTTCTTGGTCTTTTGGCTGGTCTTCTTACTTCTGGCCTATACTTACAAGAAAGGTACCGCAGCTGTCTCGCTCTGATTAACTTCAAACTTTTTATATAAAAAGATAACGTAAATATAAGATATTCAACAAAGTACTAAATCGCGCTTTTCAGTCAATCTCAAGAAAATCGAGATCAAGACATTACGTTTCGAATCTCTGACAAATTGGCATTGTGTTTCAAGCTTACAATTTTGTCATTTTTTTGACTTATAAGAATTGCTTTTTGATATAATGGTAGAAAACCCTTAAATAGACCTACATTTTTAAATTTGTAAGCGTAGTTTGTCTGGAAAGTCAAAAAAAGTGCTTGCCACACAATGCCAAGTTTTGTCAAATTGACAGGAAACTCCAGTATTTTAATTATTAAACTCAAAAATGCAAGTTAAAATTTTTTATGTGTACTATTGAAGTACAAAGAATTCATATAAAAATTTTTTAAAATCTGATTTTGAGCTCAGCGGGGCAAGCAATGTACATGGTGCGCCAAAAGTTATGTTACAACACTTAAACTTTTCGAAGCGTTTGTTCCAAGCCGCAAAGGGGGGACACACTTTGAAACCGATTGACTATTTTATAACTAGTACTATATGTTACTATTGTTAGTTGTTGTTTTAGTTATATTCGTTGTTAGAATAAATATTTGGTTAAAAAACCGTGTAACAAAACTTTT